TAAATTAAAAGCCTTATAGAGAGAGCAAATAATTTTAAATCACAAGTATAATGTCATGAACTACTTGCTTCTTGTTAACATGGAGGTAAGAGATAGGTTAACAAATGCGGTAACTGAGCTCTCATTAAGATTAATGAACAGAGAATTTGAGGTGAAAGAGTTCATTCAGGCAAGAAAATGGATATAAATGGAAGAGGAATAAAAAGTCAAACAAAGATGCAGAATATGGTCCTGAGGGTATGAAGATGTTAATGATCTAAAACGGTAACTTCTATTGATTGAAACCTAATAATGGCAGAATGTATAAAAGACACCCCATTTGGGAGTATTTTAATGATATTCCTATGCTATCAGTATGATAGGCAAACTCCTGCTAAGATCATAGTTCAATTTTTAAATGAAAATTAATCTGAAACTATCTTACTAAATAAGTGTTTTATATGGTATCAACTTCTTATAAAGAAAGGTTTATCCATCTCAGTACATAAGAATAGGTACACAGGTTACATCAAACAACAAGACTGTCTTTGTTAGAAATTATGATATACTGAATAAATCATGATTTAATTAAGCTTTCTCAATTACTGATTTTAACTCACAGTGTAAATAAGAATGTAAACTGATTTTATTTAAATCAAATCCACCCTATCTACAAATCCAAAACTACTGCGCCCTCTAAAAATACTCCAAATCATAAAAACTTAAGCATTACTTCAATAACCTTCAATAAATAATTGTTTACGAACTTATTTTAAATTTTATTTACTGCCCATTGGCATTAGTCGCTTTAGATAGCTAACAGATATTCACATACGATAACAATTACCAAAACCCAACTAGCAAAACTAAAAAAAAGCCTTTAACGCTTGATACGGACTTTTGAAAACGTTATAAAAGGAAAGTTTTAAGCCCCCTCCTAAATGGTAACAAGAAGGGAGCTAGCCTCAACTCCAGCACCAACTTTCACCATGGGGAAAAAAGCAGATTTTAGCTATTGCTGTTAAGCAGATCTTGTGGTGTCCCACTGAAGATCTAAGTGTTAGGACAGATATAGACATTCCTGTAAAATAACGAAGCTACAGAGGCCTTCACGCATCATAATGAGTACCTTGAACTGGTCCTGGAAACAACCAGTAACCAGTGCAACCATGTCAACAATTCAGGGATGTGACATCTCATGGAAGCACCACTCACCACCTAAACTGCCATATTTTGGGCCAGCTGCAGTTTCCAGAGCATTTTCAAAAGTTGTGCATTGCAGTAATCCAACTGTGAGGTTACCAGTGGATGCATCAATGAATCAATCTCTCCCTCCAGGAAAGGATGCAACTGGCTTATCAGTCAGTGCTGTTAAAACAGCTTCCTTTGCCCCTGAAGTAATCCCAGATCTAGAACCCCAAGTTGCACACCTGGTTCTTAAGGAAGAGTATCACTTTGTTCAGATCTGGCACATATCCCAAACCCTGAGGTCCAGCCCCCAGAATTAACCACAGTGTCTTGTACAGACAGGCATTAGTAATTTCTAGAATTAGCAGCAATGTCTTAGAAGTATATTTGGGTACTATCTGAGCACTAATGGCACTTAGCACCAAACCCATGCATGATCCTTCCTATTTGTTTCCTATACATGTTAAATAATAATGCCCCTCACAGAATAGTCCCCAAAGGGCCAAGCAAATTTCTCCCTGTCACTTTTTGATGTTATCCAAATAGATAAAAAAGATTTAGTACAAGCAGTGCCATCTCTATTTCCCTCAAGAATCTAGAAAAAATACTGTAGTCAACAGAGTCAAAAACCATTAAGAGATCCAAGATGATAACAGGGTCATACTTCCCTTACTTCTCTCTTAGTATGGATCATCCATCATACAACCAAACTATTTAAAGCTGAGTCTAAATCTAGATTGAAATTCTGAAGTTTCTGGGGAATATGAATAGTGCCTTTTCCACCAGCTTGGCTAAATATGGATTACTGGACATTAGCTTACAGCCATATTGTAGAATGTATTGTGTGAACACAACTCTTGTGCTAAGGTTATCGTTCAACTCAATTATTACCCAATTATTATTTCTTTCCACCTAGCTAATTCATGAACACTGAATTGCATCCTATCAGCCTCTATCCATAATAAGACTAACCTAACAATACCCACTGTGAGCTCATCCATGTATCCTACTTATCCTGATTCTCAGACACACTGCTTATCTCCGGGGAATGTTAACCTAATGGAAGACATTCCACCAGATTGACATTTCTGCTGGGGAAGCTGCTGTGAACAGATCATGACCTGTGTCTGAGTACCCACTTTTCCAGTAGCTGCAAGCACTTGCTCCAAATGGAGTGGAGTCAACAAGCAAAGTGGAGTCATTGCAAAGTCTTAATTCTGCACTCAGCAATGCAGTCACAGCTGCAATTACTATGTAACAAGGAAACCAAAGAGATTAATTCTTGATCCTTTGTTTAATTATTCACAATGGTTGTCATATATAAAGCCTCAGTCACTAAAAAGACTGTGGAAGGCTCATCAGCCCATCAATCCCACAGCTGGAGATCAAATATGGCAAACAGCTGGGAAACAGTGCCCCATTAGCAAGCAGGTACAGAAGGCAAAAGGAGTGGGAACCAGAAGCAGGAGCCCCTTCTCACAGGGCGTGGGCTGTATTTATTTATTGGGTTTAGGCGGCCATCCAACTCCATGAGACTCTGGAATTACTGCTCCTAACCAACAGTAGCAGCAGCAGCAGCAGGCGAACACCACCACCTTCATGCGAGGGCTGCAATTTTACTAACCTTGATCCAGATACCCAAGAAGAGGCACACTGTTGGGGTAGTAGAATTCACATCAACGGGGCTAAAGGGATGAGCTCTGTCAGTTTTCCTTACAATCTTATGGACCTCAGGGGTCATCCAGTCCATCCTCCTGCTTTGCCTGTTCTACTGGCTGAAAGCTTATACATTCAGGAAGTTCCTCCAATGCCTAGCCTCAATCTACTTCCTTGCAGTTTTAACCCACTGGTCCTGATCCTGCCCTCTCAAGAGACACAGAATGTCTACTTCCTCTTCTACATGAAAACCTTTCAGATATCCAGAGACTGCTCTGCATATCTTCTCTTCCACAGGCTAAATATACCCAGGTCATTTAACAATTCCTCACAGGTCTTGATTGCCAATGATCTCACCATCTTGGGAGCCCTCCTATGAATTCACTCAACCTTCTCCCTGTCCTTTTTGAACTGTGGTGCCCAGAACCAGACACATTATTCCAAATGGGGTCTCACCAGGACAGAGTAGTTTATTCATTTAATTACTATTTAGTTTGCTCTTCTTTGGTAAGCAAGGCATGAACAAGAACAAGGGATATATTGTCTCCTTCCTTAAATTATTGTTTGTTGTTAATATTAGAATATCTAAATATATGTTTACTTGAAAATAAATCCCACTGATTTTGATGAAATGAGATTTCCAAAATAGGAGTGAAGTCTAAATCAGTTTGTCAAGTTAAAATACAACTAAAGTAAAAGTTGAATTTGAAAACACAGAGTTACAAAGATTATATCTTTTGGTTCATTAAACAGTCAATCAAAAATCCCAGATCTACAAGAACATATAAATAATCAAACTTGGAAGAGAATGCAGTATGAGTACAGCAGTAATAAGAGTTACGAGATACATTACAAACACACAACAGTATTCACTAATTTTCACTGAAACGTTAATCCTGAAAATTTCAGTACTTAACAATGTAGGCTAATACATATTTACTTATAAGTCCCAGTGCATTTATTAGATGTTATGCCTAAATAGGTCTGCACAAATTGCAGCTATACCTGGCCGATTTTAGTGAATGCAAAGGCATTATCTTAAATTTTTTAAGAACATCTACTTTATTTTTATGAGTAAATCTTTACAGGCTACTATTTTGCCTAACGAATTATTTGCACAATTTTTAAACAATGAATTGCAAGTGGCAAGGGCAGCAAAATACACATTAATATTCCAACACTTTAACAAAATATTCTCACCACAAAACAACTACTTTAATGGTCATTAGGATTAAAGGCTTAAATTTAATGCAAGCTTCCAAAGCAATCCATACCATGATGCCAGAGACCCAGGCAAACACCCCAATAAAAATGTACCAACAACTGTGCGCAGTATATTTTCACGGTCGAATCGCTACACGAAACACCCTGACCAAGAGTTAGAATTCTGGAAGGCTTGAATAACATGCAGCATGGGAGGGGCCCAAATTCTCTATTATGGGGTGGGGATTCCCCATCGTAAACAGGGATTTCCTCAGCACGTGTGCAGGAATTCCCTGAATCATTGAAGAGAACAAGGTAGCCATTTGTAGAGGTCAATTACGCAAAGAGCATGGAACATGTCCTGGGGTTTTTCCCCTTGCTAATTCTGTGACTCCACAATATTTAAATATTTTCAGTTCGGCACTCATTTACCGAAGAACATGCATTTTAAAATTACTTACCAGTTTCAGACCATAATTGTCTGAAACATGTCCACTTTATGTAAGAGGTGATTGGTTTTATTGGGAAAAATGAACATAAGCACAATTTTTTTAACATTCAGTAACTGACAGCACAGAGTTAAGACTTAAGAGAGGCGCAGCCTGAAAAGAAGTTCATTTTTCGAGGACTGAAGCATCATTTCCAGGGCTGCCCCTGAGCATATTTACTCAGCAGTCATTCTCAATGAGTTCAGTAGGGCTTACTCCATCGTAATCGTCTTTACAATCGCAGCCTTTATGGAACAAGAAGGAATATCAAGAACAGCTCGATTTTTAACAGGCAGCTTTGTCCATTCAGCGTGACATCAGGGCACCGTATATCACACGGAAACAGAGAAATGTTGTGAGCTTTTACATTTAGCTAAAAATGCCAACATCTGGGAAGTCATGCCCCCTTAGCCTTCCCATTTGGTCTTCAAAGCGAGACCCGTTCCTCTAAAAATGTGATTAATAAAGCAAGCGATGGTTTTTTACCTTTGGAACTCTTCGCTTTCTTCTCTGAGGCCTTTTGTTTTCAGTTAGCACCTAAAGAAAGACATCAAATGGCAAAATAAACCTGGGTGAACAAGCCAGTCAACGCATTGTTTTCAAAACCAGTTTCCCCCTTCTGGGAATCTCGGAAGACTTTACAGGCACAACCCTTCGCGGGGCTTCGCCGGCAACTTAACGGGGACCGAGGAAGTCAGCCGCACCGCCGCCACCGCCACCGCCACGGGGAAAAGAGGGTTAACCAGGAAAGAGGTGGGAAAAAATAAATAAATAACCTTTCCCCCCGCTCAAAGTCGGGATTAGGAAGGCTCGGCATTCTTCACAGCGAAAGCCACAGGGTAGCCATCTTGCTTCCTTCTGCAGAAAAGCCCTGTGCGGAGAGTGCACTCCTTCAGCGCGCCTTGGCAGAATTATGCTCATGGTGCTTAACAGCCACAGCGGCGGCGGCGGCCGCTTGGAGAGCGCAGGAAAACCTGCCTGCCAACGCTAGGGACGTGCTAGGCATGCCTCGCGAATATTATTACACGCACACACACAC